TAGGTAAGATTTGGGCATTTCTCTGCTAAAACTTCCAAGCCTCCAGAAATTGCATTGTCAGGAAGTTCCAACTTCCGAAGTTTATTTAGGCTGGGAAGCTGGGCCAGTGAACGTAGAGCCATGTTAGCCATACTCAGAAATTCTAGTTCTTTAAAAGTGTCATTCAGGCCCTCAATTTCCCCATTGACACACAGGCAATTATTGAGAACCAATTCTGTCACCTCCTCTGGGGCTCTGTTTCTTAACTCTAGGTTAATCTTCTTCTTCATCTCCATGTCCTCCCCCTGCTCTTCTGCCACTACTCTCCTTCTTTCTCCTTTCCTGCTCTTCCCACTACCCCCAAGCCGAAAATCTTAGAAAATTTGGAAATGAATGAAAAGAATCGCAAATATAAACACCCACTACCACCAGATAGGAATGGGGGAGAAAGAAAAGAATAGCAAATGGAGTCCAAGGAGTTGGGACTCTTAACTCGTCTGCCCCCACCTCCTTGTCCACACACCCGCGCGTGCACTCACACACACGCACACACACACACACACGCGCGCGCGCACACACACACACACACCCGCAGTTCCTTCCCCTTCAATGGCTGCTCAGAAACTGAAAGCTGGAGAATTTAATACTGGAAGAAATCTGGTGCAGCTAGGATGGAAGAAATGCATAACGAGACGAGATAGTGGAGCCAGAGAGAGATAAGCAAGACAGGTGTCCCTTCCCCTAAACTGCTGGGATGGTGGCGGTGGGGCGGGGGGGCTGGCACGGGTCATCTGACTGAGACAGAACAGCGGAAGGCTGTCTGGTGGGAGGAAGACAAAGAAGGCAAGCATCCAGGGAGACAGGGGGAGAACTATCCTGGCTTAGCTCTTTGCTGCCTTTCGGCCTCTGCCTTCTTCCTGCCATGAACTGTTTCTCCTCTGAGAGACCAGCCTGTCTTGGAGCCCACTCACTAGAACCAAAACCTCCACAAATTATGAGCTGCAATAAATCTTTCTTCATTAAAAAAATATCCTGGTCAGTCCTATGGATAACCCACTACTATGATGGACTACTGGACCATATTGGATTATTTTGCTGAATTCATGCACCCGCAATATTCGAATGGCAATGGAATACCCATCTCTGACCAAACTAAACAATACAAGAGGATACAAATGAAGGACCATTTTGTATCTGTGTATACAAAATATTTAGAATAGATATATGGCTACTTTCTCTTAATTCAATGAGAAGAAAGATTGGTAGTAATAGTGTTTGGACAGGATATCATGTCTGCATCTTGTACTATGAATAACCACTATGAATGCAACAATATGAATGTATTAATTATGTAACTGTCCTATTAATCAGTTTTGAAACTGTCTCATTGCTATCTGTTTCTCAATAAAATTAAGAAATAAAAATAAATATCCTGGTTTCTCCTGCAAGAGCCTTCAGGTCTGAATGAACCCCACAAAGCCCCAACAGAGCTCTGACCCTAGACATGCAGTATATTGGAAGACAAAGAAAAAGAAGGAATCTCCAAGCAAGGAAGTCCAGGACTGTTTAGGAAAGGAGGGGGGATTGTTTCTAGTTTTTCTAAAGTATTCCTTTAAAATAGAGAAATTTCACTTACACAAAGATTTTGAAATTATTATAAATTCTCAATCCAGTGGCTGATTTATTCAAAAATTCATTACACACATGACATTATTCTCCAAATGTTACATTTTATCCTCCTTTTCTTTACCACTCTAGTTTCAGAGGAGTTAAAATTCAATGCTTGAATATACCTCATTATTCTTTTTATTATATTCATAAGTACAAATTATTCATTTTAACGTAGATGTCCTGCCTACACATCAGAAGATACCCGCATACTCATGTCATTCCAGATATCACTTTCTTAAGTTTCCAAATGTCTTTATCTTTTTTAACATACATTTCTAAAGAAGGATCTGATATTTAAACCACTTAATTACTATAATTTGGCCCCCGTCTGCACTCATTCATGAAATTTTTGTAGCTAGCAATTTATAGCCCCCTGATCAGTCATACATTAGTTCCTATCACCCATTTATCTAGTAGAAAGAGGTGCACACAAAATTTCCTGTAGAAAAATCTATTGCATTAGTTAAGCTTTGCAATAGAGCTTTACGTTTATCAAAGTAATTTTCACTGTGTGTGTGTGTGTGTGTGTGTGCGTGTGTGTGGTGTATCAACAGAAATAGTTTCAAGAATATGAAATAAAGAAAGACAATCGAAGGAGCTAGTATTTCCATCCATGCATTTATTCATAAACGTATAAACGCAGCATAAAAATGATTCTGCAATTATATAATCATGTTCCCAAAACACAGAATTCCCTTTTGCCACAGAGTAACCCACCTTCCAAGGTCACATGGCAGTTGGCTCTATTATTCTCAATGACCAGCTTCTTCCCTCCTCAGGTGAGCTCCCTCACCCTCCACTCTGCTCCCCAACACACCACCTGGACTTCCGTCACCCTCCCACTTCTTCCTGCACACTGCTACCCACAGGCTCTCCACTTCTCAGTTCCCTCCTTAGTCTCTTCTTCCCCGTGAAATTCACCACACCAGCCCCCAGAAGGAGCCTCTCCCTCCTACTGAACTCTCCTTAGATTGCACGCCTGGGGCTTCCTCGACTGCTCATCATTAGATGTATGTGGGTCCTCAAAAGTCCTTTGCACTCTTTTTTCTGAATTTTAAGGAAGGGTCTACAGGGTGTTCAGGGTCTCACTACATAGTGATCTGCCTGTTTATAGCCTCCCAAGAGCTGGGATTACTAGGCCCGTGCCAACACGCCCAGTCTCAATTGCCATGTCTTAGTGTGCCCTTGTGACCTTGAAGGGGCGGAACCAGCACAGCAGGCCTGGGGATGGAACGCCTGTTCCCTGAGCCTGCTTGCAGGTGCTTTAATCCACTGAGCTATTTGATCCGGCCTGCAATCTTGAGAGCAGATCCAGAACTTTACATCCTGCTTGTAGGAACAATCTCAAGTACCCAAAACATACTCGCTGAAGGCTGCAGGAATTGCGTAATCAGTCCTGGAGAGCGGTTTTTCAAAGTCACCAGAAAATAATGAAGCACAGATAAAAAGAAACTGACACTGTGCAAATCTAGAAGACAAGAAGAAAGACTAACTGCCCAAATGGAAGCAGGACTACACCAATGTCAGGCACGCAGGAGCAGACCTGCTTTAAAAGAAAAAGCAACGTCTCACTCATTTTGGAGGAAATTTCTAAGACACTTTCTCCCCTTTGGGAAAAAAATACATTTTTATCTTCCCTGGTTACATTTCTTTTGTTTTATCCAGCAATATATTTTTGCTGCCTCTTGGAAGCCATTGATCTTGAAAGCCTCTTGGAAGCCATTGTTATCATGAAAAATCACTTCCAGGAATTTCATCTCATAGCCACTCTTTATTATCTGTCTTCTGCCCTGCCTTCATTCAGTCTTCACCAAGGGCCTCCAACCCAAAGCCCATCTGCAGCTCTGATTAGATGTCTACTAAATGTGATTTTAAAACACACGTCACCTGACATCATCACTCTTGGCGCCTCCCGAAGGTCAAGAGGGATTACACCAGTAGTAATTAAACAGGGCGGCTTCTCTTCAGGGCCCCCTCCTCCAGCCCCTGGACCTCATCATGCTGCCCTGCTTCCTCATTTGAGCCTTTCCACACCACGATGTCTTTAACTTAAAAATCAATTTCCTCCTATTTCTGTTGCTTTTGCCCAGTTGATTCTTCATTTAATCTTCAGGTTCATCTCAATCCCATAAATCTAAACATAGCAATCAAACGTCTCCTCTCTTTAAAATGTCCTCCCACAGATCCCGCCTCCTGATTGATCAGGCAATTTCAAAGAAAGATGGCGAACAGAGGAAATTATATTTCCAGAGAAAGACCACTTCATCAGAAATACAGGGCTGGAGGGTAGCTTTCTGTTTTTGTTATTGAAAGGATTCATATTATAATACTTGCTTGAAGGAGGCTTTTACTGCAAAGAGCAATCTGGCCATGTATGTGTGAGATCTGAAGAGAGATCTGGGTAACATTTACAAGTGTTCAGGAAAATGAGAAGGTTCCAGTTAACCAGAAGTGGACTCGTTTGTTTGTTTGTTTGTTTGTTTTCTCTCCCATATAAATTATTAATTGTATGTCTTAAATGTCTGCCATGGGCTTCATACTAGAGTTTTCTATGATCATCAAGGCATTGAATTAGAGGCCTGTCATGCAGTCTGGGACTGCTATGATAAAATGCCACTGTCATGGGGCTGCTATGACAAAATGCCCACAGACTGGAGAATTCAAAAACAACAGAACTTCATTGCTTATAGCTGGAAGCCTGAAAGTCCAGATCAAGGAGCTGCGTCAGGCAAAAGCTCTTGCTCTATAGCGTGGATAGGTCTTTCTCACTGTGCCTCACATGGCAGGAGAAAACAGGGCTCATTCAAGCCTCTTTGATATGAACACTAATCTCATTCATGAGTGTGAAGGCCTCATAATTGGTAGAGACCTCCCCAGAGGTCTCCCAACCTCCCCAATCTCTTAGTATCACCTTAACTTCATAGGTCTACTGTATGAATCTGTGGGGAACATCAGCATTCAGATGATAGCAATAGAACCAATTAGGATCAACACAACACAGACCCTGTGCTCAGGGACATATGTGTGCTAGACACAGAAAAAAATAACTGCAAGGAAGAGCTGGATGTGGTAAGTGGTGCTCCATTCATTCAACAAATGGTTACCCAATGCTTTCTGTATGTCAAACCCTCTTCAGGGCACTGTGGATAGAACAGAAAACCATTCACTTTTTCCCCCTCATGGAACTTTTACCTTGAGTATAAATTACATATATGAATAAAACAATCAATAGACCTAGTGATTATGGCATCACAAACCAAGAGGAGTGTCTTGAAGACAGCATATGTCATCAGGGGCAGATGTAGATCGAGCAGTCAGGGATGTGGTTGAAGATGAAAGTTAAGGGAGGGTAGGAGGTGGGCGCTGAGGCTGAGGCCTTGGAGAAGAATATCCCAGACCTGGCCAAACATGAGGTATTTAGTGGGAGCTCCCCAAGGGAGCAATCCTTTGGGAGTAAGAGGGGACAGAACAGGTTAGAAGAGGACCTCCAGGAGAGAAGAGACCAGGAGCTTTGGCCTTCACCAAGGGCAGGACTTTAGGAAGCAGAGAAGGTAGGAAGAGGTTGTATGCCAGAGAAGGCTGGGAAAACAAGCAACATGATTTAGGTGTACACAGGGCTGGAGAGATGAAGAAGACCCAAGGAAGGGGACACCACCTGTGCACACTATTTGGCATTTTTCTAGGCATCCAAAGGAAATTCCCTGAACGCTGCAGAGAAGCATTATCCTGCACTTGCAGTTACGGCTTATGGACAGCAATCTGAATTCGGGAGGTAGTAGCAGACATGGAAAAGAAAGCCTAGGTGCAGGTGCAGTCACTGAAGTAGATCAATTAGATGAGTGTGAAGGAGGTTTTATGTATTTGGGTACTATGATGAAATTTTGAGA